GCGAAGGAAGTACACCTTGCTTGTTATAACTTACCTTGATTTGATATTCCGCTGTAGTGGTTGCCGTTCGTGGAATAATTTATGTTCCTTTTAATGTGGAGAGGGTGGCAAGGAGGAGGACGGAGAACAGGGAGGGTTGGGAGGGAAAGGAAGACGGTGAATGTGGAAGGGACAGAGACAAAGGAAGACACAAAGAGGGAGTGGTAGATAATAATGTCTAAATTTTGCTATAAAACATTAGAGGTTGTAACATCTTCATGTGATGAAATAACACGGGCAAACACCAGCTATTCTTAATCTTACATGTATATATCATAATGCTGTACGCATTTCTTCTTTTTTTTTTAATGTTCCTCCTTTTAAAAAAAAAAATTCTCCTTTTTTAGTCCACGGTTCTTCTTCTTTCCCCTATCTCGTCCTTCTTGAAGTCCCTTCATTTGAAAAATAGGCCTATTCCTCCCTTCTGCATTCACTAACCCTTCCGTCCTTTGTTCCGTTGGGGTTTGTTTAGTTTAGTGTGTGGGGGGGGGGTTGTGTTATTTTTTTCTTTCATGTTCTTTTATCTTACGCCTTTCTTTTACGTCTCCACTGGGCCAACTACTACTACATCTTATAGTGTTGAAAATGGCCTTAAACTGAAACCAAGACAATGTCTTTTTTTAGTTAAATACGACCTTCACATCTTAAAATGTTGGCTTTCGATCCCTACCAAACGACGTAATACTGTGTTCTTCCTCAGATCGCCAGCTCCTATGAACTTGACTTCGTTGCCAAAAAGAATCTCATTCGTCCTTTAATAGCTGCTATCTCAGACTCGGGCGCATTCGCGTTGGTGGACTTTAGTAACAACAAAACATACAGCAGCGGTGGATCAGTATGCGTGTGAGTTTCACTAATGATAGAATTATAGTTTTCTTTCTATTGTTTTTGTATTTTTTTAAATATTTGCTTCATAGCACTAATATATTCGTAAAAATTAAAGAGAATCATGATACATATTTTTTTAATTAATTTTTTTTTTGGGGGGGGGGATCCTCAACTGTAACAAGTTGACAGTACTTTAGCAAGTTCCTACTACGCGTACCATTATTAAAGTATATAAAATATGTCAACACATCTTAATATATATTCTCTCTCTCTCTCTCTCTCTCTCTCT